TTAATAACAGAAATGAGGTTAAATTTGTGTTCAAAAAGGGCTCACCAATTTCGTGCCTTAAGTAACCCTCGTGCTATTGATAGAAGAAACCAGACAAGTAGTGAATAGGTCTTTATTTCGATCTTAGCGCGGTGACAGTGGAGCATGGGATTATCTGTTCAGACAAACAAAGGCTCTCAACATTCAATATAAGATAATAGGGAATATAACGCTTATACAAAATAAGGAAGTGAATGAATACTTGAACAATACTGTTTTGGCATATGCTTGGTTGTTTGGGGTCAACTCTTAACCAACCAACCTAAGCTGTTACATGTACTCTGATATTAATGGGTTCGCGATTTAACTGGAGGCATATGGAGGAACACTAAGTATTTCTTCTCATGTGGACATAGTTTCTGAATACTAGAGAATTCATAGGCTTGACACAATATCTCCTTTGTTACCTCATTCAACTCCACCCAATCATTGATGTTTATAGTAGTTTTTACATTTAAATCACTGAATGACTAGCAAGACGATTGCTATCTCTTAAATTTAATAGTCGGTTTCTAAAATTATTAATAATAGTAGTTTATTCTCAAAATAACAGTCTGTTATATGAGGCAGAAGCCGAACGAAAAAATCATTTCTGTTGGAATCGACACGAAATACTAATGAAAAGATAAGGGTTTTTAAAGAATATTTCTGCAAACTGTTTTCCAAGGACGATGGTGAGAGACCAACAAGCAGTTTCAATGCTGGCTTCTTGCTGATGGATCCTCTTTTATTGAGAAGAAAGTTATCTTGTAAAATGATTGTTTGGTTCGGTATTAGTACAGTTAACTTCACTACCATAATAGACCTAATCCAAAGATGGTAGATTTGTCATGATGTGACTACTCAGTCTATAAGATCGTACGCGGACGTCAAATTACTGCCTGTACTTACTCGTTCTTGAAGAACACATTTTGGACCAAATGACCACACCTGAAAGTCTGATCTATGCAGTACCGATAAATTTTTTTAAGTTCACCATTGATGACCTTCTCTTGAGTTAAATGCTGAATGTAAATCTTCTCGGTAATTATATGCTCGGCTTCAAATATCGTGTGGTTGGGAACCAACATCACTAAATCTCAAGATTACTTCAACATTTTAAGACCAGATAGGTTCAGTAGTACTGGTAAAATTAATCCTAGGATAATGGGAGTCCTGATACATGTAACTGCCGAGTCTCTGACAATAATGTTTGACATCACTCTGAGGCGGTCTGAACTGCCGAGAGACCGGACCGGTGCAAATATCAGTCAGGTTTATTAAGCGGGGAGTAGAGACTTAGTTAGTAACCATCGGCCCATTAGTCTGACCAGTGTAATGGTCAGACCAATGGAGAAGGTTGTTTGGGTAACCATTCTAAACTATTTGGAATAAATAATCTTTTAGACAGGAAACAGCATGGTTGTATGATAAGCCTTTTATACTTGACAAATTTTGTTACAAGGGAAGATTGGACTGCTGCAAAAGATAGTAATATCCCGTTAGATTTAATTTTTATAGATATAAGTAAAGCTTTCAACAAATTTTCTAGCCCAGGTTTTGAATTATTACTAGAAAGTTTTGAAATCCATTTCGTAATTAGAAACTGTTTAAATGGCATTCTCAGTGATAGGAGAAAACGGGCACCGGTAAATGGAGCTTCTTTATGATGGATGTTCCAAAACATGAAGTCCTTCAATTTAAGGTCCTTAGTTCTCTTCTTTTTTACTTTATGTAAATGATTTACTAGCTGACGCCAATTCATCTGTCCTACGTCATGCCAATATATAGAGATTTAGAGACCCATACACTGTTCATCAAATACAATGATGACAATACAGGGCTACCTAAACTCACTGGTCGAATGGATAAACAGGTGGTCATTAGAAGTTAACTCTAACAAGAGTTAGTGATGTGAATGAGTAACTGTGACGGTTTATATAATCACACAATACGTGAAACTGATTAAAAAGATCTAGGAGTCACAATAAGCCCTGACCTTAGAACCCCGAGAAACTGCGAGAGTCTCGCTGCCAAAGACTTTAGGGCCTTATATGGTATTCGGAGGTCATTTCGGCACTTGAATGTAAAAATGTTTAGGGTATTATACCCGATATTCGTGAGGCCGCATCTAAAATATGAAATTCAAGCACAGAATCCTTATTTCAAGTGTTAAGCAGGTGTGGTAGGACGATTTCGACAGTGGGAGATCGAATAATGTAAGGTATAACTCAGTGAAGACAATGGTGTACGGTGGCGCAACTTCGTGGATTGGTTGAAGTTAGACATTAACACCGTTCGATGCCGGCCAATTCAGTGGTCTAGTTGGTTAAGCGCTTGGTGCGAGACTGATAGGTCCTGGGTTCTAATCTTGCGGGGTGTGGAATCATGGATGCTCACTGCTGAGGAGTCGCATACTAGGATGAACCGGCCGTCCAGTGCTCCCAGGTTTTCCATGGTGGTCTAGCTTCAATTGACTCATGATTTCAATCAGTGAAAATCTGTTTGTAAAAGTTTGTTAATTTAGGCAAATCGCGCGCTTTTCGAACGGGAAGTTTAGTCCTAACGTGATTTGCATTTATCAAACTTTTGCTGTGTTCTTACGCAACAAAAGTGCCATTTCAGTTCTAAAGAATCTACCCTGAGCTATACGTTCGGTAGAGTACTTTTTTTGAGATTCACTATATTTAATAGTTACCTGTGGTTTTGCCTCAGCTTACTATTCGGTTTTTTTTTGTTTTTCACGTATAGACTAGTTTCAGTTTTATATCACTCGTTTTGTCCATTTTTGTCCGTTTTCAGTGTGCTTTTTAGTGTTTTTTTTAAAGGTCTTAGGCTCTTGCAAGCATCTATAACATAAATTGCTTCAACACCGTCATGAAAAACTCATGCAAACGTCCGGGATGCCGTTTTGCTGTCACAACTGGCATGCAGTGCGACAACTGCAAAGGTTGGTTCCACGAAGCATGCACAGATCTGGACAGCAACTGCTTACAACAGACTCAGCAAGCCAGAGCAAAAGTGGGTGTGTGTCACGTGCAACACCGACTCCGTAGTCTTGCTGAGCAACATCATTGTCCTACTGACAGGTCTTCGGAACAAGTTGTCAGTTAACATGGAAAACGATAGCAAAAAAACTGATATACAAACAAGAGCGTGCAACGGACTCAAAAACAGGGATGTCGATAGGTATTCCATCGACGGCGCATCCATCAACACTAACGACGACGTGTCGAGGCTCAGTACCATCATTACGTCGACGGTACTGAACTCCCTAGGCAAACTCGGGTCTACCAACTCAGGGTCCCCAAACACAACAGTGGTTCCCAAAAACCCTGCAGGTGATTCGACCCACGTTAAGAGAGCCCAAAAGAACCAGGCATCACTGCCTAAGCCGAGCAACCCAAGTGTTGGTGCACGGAAAATAACTGGAGATTTAGTCGCACAGTCTACCCCCAAGACTGTTCGTCCGGCCAATAAAGAGCCATGATTCAAAAACGCACACTGACCTCCAAACAACAAGTTACTAAACCTGAACCCATCGTGAAACCTGGTAAATTAACAACAGTTCGTGACGATTCTC